ACAAATTACAAGAAGGAGACAAATGTGTTGGTGGGTGTTCCCAGCTGTAGATTATGCTCAGTTCGAAAGGTCTTAATTTCTTGGCAGTGATATTTATATATGTAGCATATACATGCACATACATATGTATATCCCCCGACTCTTTGGGGCATCTTGAGAGCACACCCACACTTGCATATTGATTTTATTCCCCAAGTAGAGGAAAAAATATTTTATACCTTCTCATGAGATATGTTTATTAATATGGCTGTTCTGATGCTTATCAGGCATATGAGCCCCATCAAGAAATTATGATTTAAGTCCACAGTGCATTTCATCTGTCATAATAAGTTTTGCCCATCGAGAGCCTAGTTATGCTGCACCATTGCGTCACGGCTAAAAGAGATAGAAAGAGAAAGAGAAATAGAAATAGAAAGAGAAAGAGAAAGAGGGGAAGAGAAAGAGAAAGAGAAAGATAAAGGGAAAGTGAAAGAGAAAGAGAAAGAGAAAGAGAAAGAGAAAGAGAAAGAGAAAGAGAAAGAGAAAGAGAAAGAGAAAGAGAAAGAGAAAGAGAAAGAGAGATTTGTATAGCCATCACTCTCACATATTCAGTTAAAGGACTTTCTCCATAATATTTTTGCAGCGTGAATGCAGGTGAGCTGAGGTGTCAGCCTTAAGGCAAGCGGCATGCTATATAAACCTGCTGCACTGCCTAGGTCAAGTTGTACGAACTCTTCAAGTTTTGAAAGTTGTCGGTGCGTTAACAGCAGTTGGGATCAGATGAAGGTTCCTTACCTCCCCACACCATTGGAAATATCCTGTAATTCTTGTCATGCTAAAAGTCTCGCCAACCGCATTAACACGATCCAATTCATGCGCCTGAGCCGTGGTTTAAGTTAAGTGGCTTTGTTTTTCATCTTCACTTTTGCGATTATAGTCAAGTGTACAACAGTACCCCATTCCTTCCTTCTTTTCACCTGTTCACGCCAATCGTAAACGCCAAGTACAGATATGTACTCCTCCTCCTGGTCGTTCGCACAAAGAAAATGTCTTCCACTGACTCTGCCTCCACCGACGGTTACTGTATTGGAAACTCTTATAGCTGGACTACCCAGTATAGGTGAGCGCTGTATCATAAATTGCTGAGCTATGTCAATGTCATCGCATGACTCGTATAGCTCGTATCATTCTACCGGCTGCAAGAGTCCCCATCTCCGATGCGTAGAGTACCACAAATCTTTCACATAACCTTGCTTACCAAAACTCCTAGTACCGACACATCAGATATTGTCAACGTCTAACCATATGGTGTGAATGGTGCAGAGCGGTTATGACGAGAGACTTGTAGAGTTTAGGCTTTGTCTTTGTTTGTTTGAGAGAGGTCCTTACATTTCAATTGTCTACCCAGTCTAAAGTAGTAACTGTTAGCAATAGTGGTTCACGTCGGACTTCCAGGTTCATATTTTTGTTGTTGTTGAAGTTGTTTTCTAGAACGGTTTTCTAAATCACCAGGATAGGATTGAAGAAGTAAAATAATATGGAGTCAACTTGTCTTAAACGTCAATCCGTATCGAACGGCTCGGAAAGGTCTTTCCCAAAGATGAGCAGACTTTTAGTGTTGCTCAGCCCCAGTTTACTTAGTCGCAGCTAGTTTTGTGCAGATTCCAAGCTCAAATATAGCAGAGAGGGAGTTTCTCTTCGTACTATAGAGGGCAGTGAAGTGGTCGTTCGTTTCAATTACTTTCTCGTTCGTATCAATTACCTTTCAGGAGTTGTCCACTGGCAAATGAGGGAGCAACTAGAAGTGAACCCATAACCCAACATCCGATCAATTCACGGACGTTAAGCGTGATAAAAAAAATCGTTTGATCAAATTCCTACAGAGTACGTCACCTTACATACTTACATATGTATGTACCCACACGTGCTTGTACATACTCATATGAGTACCCATGTAAAATTCCTCCCCGAAGCAAGTCGATAAATAATTATCTCATATTGGCAAGGGTTTGGTGAAAGTCTATGTACATTGAGTGGAAACACTTCAGACAAAATGAGTGTGCATTTGTATGTATATACACGTATGTATATATATGTATACATATATTTACATCAGTTAACTACAACTTTTGATATTTAAATAATTTTATTAATGTTCCGGTAATCTGTATTCATTTCAGTAAGGCCCACAGGGACATGCAAAGCTGTCCTAGCATATAAAAGTATCTATATATATGGATGTGTGTACAAGTAAAATCCATTTCGTAACAAGGGAGGTGTCCAAGAAAACTCGAGAGGGGATTTTTCGATGATTAATAATCGATTTTAATGGGCAATATTCTATAAGAAAGAAGAAGAACAAAATCTATCCCTAGAGGGCCATTAACATTAATTTCGTATACACGTTCACCTACATATATGTATGCATTCATCTGCTTACGCACTTATGTCCCAAAATACATACATACATACATATACATATGTATTCACATGATAACTTCATTAGAAACTAATTTATTGTGGATTTATGTAAAAGCATTAAAAACTAATTAAAATTAATTGTAGCTCATGGCTGAAAGCTTTGAAGCGGAAATTTCAAATTTGTTGGAATTAAATGAAAAGGTTGGATTTGGTATTTGAATTTCTACAATTATTTACGCAACAATTTTGGAGGCGAATAAATATTTAGAGGGAATCAAATTTTAAACAAATTTTAACAACCAATTTTTGTACAAAGGTAGGCAGTTATTACTTTTTCTTTTTACGCCAATCGGTAAAAATTTTTGCAAAACATTTGATTTATTTGCCTTCGCGATGACCGTCTTTATATATTTAAAAATCACAAGTGTTAACGTCAAACAAAAAAAAAATCTTCCAATAAAAACTCGTAAATTATATGCGGTTGTTTTTTCAACTAAAATAAATACCGTACCGAAGTATAAAAGTGTACCGAATATGTACCGAATCCGTACCGAAAATAAAAAATGTGCCAAACTTAAGTCGAGAAGCAATTTATATACCGAATTTATATTATAAAGAAAAAAACGCATACCGAATTTGTACCGTATTTGCTTTGTTTGCGTAGGTTTTGTGACTGCATAACTCGATGTTTTTTTTTTTTAAAATCTAAACGAAAAATATATTACTAATTTCTTTTGTAAAGAAAAAGGGCATTCCGATACCCAATTTGTAACGTATTCGATATAATTGCTACGACTTTGTATCGTAACTGCTTTCTTTAATCAATAAATAAAAATGTACCAAATCTGTAAAGAAAAAGAAAAAAATTGGCGAACTTAAGTCCAAAAAGAATATCGTGCGGCAGAAAAGTTCAATGTCAACAAGGTTAGAATTTCTCTCATGAAAATGTCAAATCTTTGAGGTAGCCCTCAGTACACAGCAAAGGCCAACGAAATATTCTTAATAAAAGTGTAGGCTTAATGTGTAGATGCGAGGGAAGGGGCATCAGCAAGCCCGTGATACTCGTATATGTAAAAGAACGCAGAGCTCCACTTGGGGTCTTTCACCAACCCACTGGCACTGCCATTTTTAAGCCAAAACTCCAGTATCTTCGAAACCAAGCCAAGAAAACTGGTGGTAGAGCATTTGTGGAGTGCAGATCTACGCGTCCTGTGACCGTCCGACAAATGTCTTCGACGTAACTCTTCAATCAAACTATGGTAAGGCTGGATTAATCAACAAAAACAACACTCTTTGTTCTTGGTTAAAGTTTTATTAAGTATCCCCAACCTCTCTTTCATTATGTAAAAAATACAAAAACAAATATTTATATTAAATATATTTCTTTTATTTCCTTTTTTATAGTACAAAATATAATATTTTAATAATTATTATAATAATTACATTAAATATTATTATTTAAAAAATATATTTTATTTTTATATAACGACGACTATATTTTTTTGCATTAAAATTGCATAATTTATTATAAAGAACTTATAATTTAAGAACAAATATGAAATGAAAATGACAAAAAAATATAAAAAAAAACTAAAAAATGTTTTAAAATTTAAAAACAAGTAAAAAAAAATTAAATGATAAAATTTAAATTAAATTTAATAAAACAAATTGCATAAAAAAATCAAATAACAAAATTAATTAAAAAAAAATGTTAAAATATTTTATTTATTAATGCAAGAATTTAAAAAAATACTAAAAATTAAAAACAAAAAAAATTAAAAAAAAAACTTAATATTAAAAACCATTTCAAATTAAAAATTTTAATTCAATAAATTTAAACATAATGCACTAAATACATAAGCTTGCCGCTCAGCTTTTCGTTGGATGCCTTTTTTGCCTTAGCTGCTATATATATTTTCGTTAATTAATTATTTAAAACTTATTTGTTCATTCGTTCATCACGTTTACAATTCGTTAAGGGCGCAAAGAAATAAACGTAAATAATACTTAAAAATATTTCCATTTATTTTCGCTATAGTTAGGATAATTATACAAATAAACAAAATATTATATATGCGCGCGCTATGTATGAATATTTTTACATAACATACATATATATTCTTTATACTTTGCTAAAGTATAAACTAAATGAATTTTTTATGCTTAATTAATATTTCTAGTTAATTATTGCTGCTCATTATAATTTAAAAAAAAAATAATATATATATATATTTATTCGATTTTGTTTTTGTTTTTGAATTGCTCTTTAATATCCGGCAGCTTTAAAAGCTTCACATTAAATATTGTAATATTTTTATGTTTGTGTGCGGAGTTGCATAAAGCTTAAACGTTTAATTATAGTACAAAAATTGTTGTGCAATTTAAACAGAAATTAAATGTGTAGCATGCTTTTAGGCGTGCGCATTTACAAGTGATTTAGGAAAGAAAAATTACATTTTTTTTAAGTTTTAACGCAAAATTCGACAGTAAAAAATATGAAAACAAATATTTATAAAAAAAATTTAAACAATTTCAATTACAACAATTCAATATAAAGCTTTTTTATTTCTATTTTCATTTTTATTTTTATTTTCTTACTCTTTGCTTGCATTTCATTGTGAGTATTTATAAATAATGCAAAATTTTTGTCGTTTTTTAGGGCAGTGATTTCTACGCTTTTTTCTTTCCGCTAAGCTGTACTACTAAAATTTGCACGACTAAGCTAACAGCAACGGAAACTACTATTTATATATATGTACGTATTAAATACAATGTATCAGCGCCATTAAATATTTTGTCTACCAAATGACGCTGATTCGTTAGTTTTATGACCACAATTTTTTATTATTGCTATCCATGGATTTTGGACCTCTTCTACATATACGCGCGCTTATTGTACTTCACTGTCACTGTCGCTCTTTTCTGTGGGTGTGAATAGTTGGATGATAAAGGAAAGAGACAGTTAATTTGAGATTTTTATTGCTATTGTAACAGAAAGTACAGTAATGGATATCGAAATCGCTTACCTTTCTTGCCAGTGTACGCATGTCTTTTCAGTCGATCGTATAAGTCTTCTTTAGTTCCATACAGCGAAGCATTTGACCTCGCCAATGTACTCATTTTGCCACCATGTAGACCTGAAAGAGAGGGAGAAATAAAATGGAAGGTTAAAAAAACTTATCAAAAATATTATCACAATATATGTACCTCCTTAAAAAAATTTATTAATTTTATCGCTTTTAATAAGAAATGTTGTATCGAAAAAATGTACCGAATTAGTACCGAAAAAAATAATTACCAATTCGATGTCAAAGTTATGAATAAACCACAAACTTGTGCAAAAAAATGTACCGAATTTTTACCGAAAATAAAACAACTCTAATTTTATTGCTTAATAACGAATAAATAACAAATGTGTGCAAAAAAGAATGTACCGAATTCGTACCGAAAATCAAACAATTCTAATTTTATGCCTTAACAACGAATAAATAGCAAGTTTGTACAAAAACATGTACCGAATATGTACCAAAAAAATAAATCTTCCGTAGAGAACAAGCGTATCCAATTCATGCGTAATACAAAATATGTACCGAATTTTACTGTAAAAAAATTGTACCGGATTTGTACCGCACTCATATAATTCTTGCATTATGTGTTTATAGTTACTGCCTGCCTCGCATATTACTCCAATTTTCTCACAAAATCGATAATTTTTTACAAAAGTACCTCTAATCAGTACCAAAATGCTACTCACCACCACCATCTTTGATGTACGCTTCATTGTAGAAGTTCGGCATCTCCCAACCATCCTCCTCATCATCATAGTAATGCGCGTACGTACTGTGATGTGACGGCGCAATGGACTCCGCGTACGGTGTGTGTGCGCCATAATAGAAGTTCACTTGCGAACCTGTCTGATCAATAGCTGGCGTCAGCATTTTCTTCGGATCGCGTCGCTTCGTGGAACGCACACAAATCATCCAAATTAGAAGTACAATGACAATGATAAAGATGACGGCACCGGCAATACCGCCGGCAATGTAAGCAAATTCAGAACGCTCCGCACAATGTGGACCCGTGAAAGAGCCAATACAACGGCATGATGGTGTACCCTTGAGGTCCTTAACGCATGTACCAGAGTTCTCACAATAGCCATCGCACATATCCGAGCACTCCATGCCGGTGCCATTGAAGCCCGGCTTGCACTCACAGTCGAAGTCCGATGTTTCAGGCACCAGAATACAATAAGCGTTTGGATCACAGTGTGGCCGACCTTCGGCAATGTGTTCACAGGGATTGGTACACTCCGATTTGGCAGTGGCGCCGGTAATCTTAGTGCTGTGATTGGGCGGACATTGTAAGCAAGACGTTTGTTGCGACTCGGGCTGATAGTAGCCCTTGCGACACTCCACGCACATATTGAGTGTACCATTGAGGTAGGTGCCCGGCGAACAGACAGGCAGTGTACATTCCTCAACAGAGTTGGCGCCCACTTTCGGTGTAGTGCGACCCAGAGGACAACCAACACACGACGGCTGCACGCCCTGTGTGCGATAAGTGCCACGCGGGCATGGCTCGCAACGACCATCAACGCCCAGCTGTTGACCTGAGCTACATTCATCGCGACATTCTTTACGCGAGGTAGCCTCACTGGAGCGTGTTGTCTGTCCGAGGCCACACAATTCACAACTGAACGAGCCCTCGTTGGGTTGATAGAAACCGTGTCCGCACGAGCGACACAAGCCACTATCCGAGTCGAGGTATTTGCCAGCAGGACAACGTTCCTTGCAGTCCGCGGCAGAGCGAGCACCAGGCCCAGCAGTAACACCCGGACGACCAGCTATGACTGGACACTTGCTGCATTGCAGTTGACCAGCCTCCGATTGATAAGTGCCGCGTTCGCAAGCGACACAAGTCTTATTGGCAGTATCGTAGTAAGTGCCGATGGCACATGGCACACAGTCGGGTATCATAACGACCTGTCCAACAGGGCAGGCGTACTCTGAGCCCAATTCCAAGGAAGCTGGATCGGGCACAGTGTTGGGCAGTATATCTTGCACGGCGAATTGATCATCCTCCAAGATAAGTTTTTCCAAGAGATTCTTCACTGTCGAACGTTCGCCTGTGCTTGAGTGAATGACCGGGTCGCTGTCGGGGGAAAAGAAGAGCGGAGGTTAATATTGTATATATGTTTAAAACAGAAGTAAGGTTATGAGTGAACAAAAGCAAAGCGTTATTGGGTTCTTGTGAGTACAGCGTGAGTGAGATGAACAACAATAATAGTGGTAGTGAATGGTACGCTTAAATGATTAAAGCACCTTTTATACACTTATGATAAGTTAAAATTTTTTAAATTTATTTTTTGTTGCACTGTGCAATGCTTAATTCAAGGTGATACGTTACGTCATTCGTTTTCATTTTATGGTGTACGAGCTATATTTTGTTACTTCATGCTACGATAAGTTATGGGTATTTTAAGTTATGGTTACGTAAAATTATGGTTATGTTAAGTTAAAGTTACGATAAGTTATGGTTATGTTAAGTTACGGCTATGTTAAATTATTTTTTAAGTTGCGTCATGTTCAAGTTCTATTTTAATATCTTATGCAATGTTATGTTGAGTAATGCTATGTTACGTTAAGTTATGGTATATTAATTTATGTTATGTTATGATCTGGTAAGTTAAGTTAGGTTATGTTTTGGAATTTTTGCTATATAAATGCTATGTTGAGTAATGGACAATTAAGCTATTCCACGCAGCCGGTTTATTTGAAGAAAATCAATACAAAAAGCAACAACAAAAACTCCAAAATGCAAATAAGCTTCAAACCACCATAAATTATTTATAAATTTTAATAAAAAAATCGTTTAGATATGCTATGTATGTAAGTGAAGCGCTCTCTTCGTCCAAGCCAGAATTATGCAATAGGTGCTAGGGTGAGCTAATTTAAGCATTAATTCAACTATTTATGTATGTGTGTACATAAACATACTTCACTGCTGGGAAGAGTATCTCCAGCATGTACGTGTCACCGCCAGCTTGTTGGCGTCCTTGACGACCGCGCGCTTCAACTTCATCGTTTTCACTATAATAATTTATTAATTATATAATATTTTGTTAAATAAACATTTAAACAAACAAATACATATAATCAATAACCAGTAAACACACACACACACACATAAAAACACATAAACAAGTGTATAAATGTACAGACATACAGAGGAAAAACATAAAAGTTAAGTTCACAGAAAACAAATTATTTTTGTTATTGATCTTACTTGAGCACTGGAATCTCTGCCTCCATCACATACACCCCGCCATCCTTAACTTGACGACTCACGCGTTGACTTTGGGCACGATAGTGATCACACTTCACATCAATCTTGATGTCCTTGCATTCGCTGTGGGTATAAAGAGATAAAATATGTTATGTTAAAAAATAAAAATAAAATAAAATAAAATAAAATAAAATAAAATAAAATAAAATAAAATAAAATAAAATAAAATAAAATAAAATAAAAAAAAAATAAAAAAAATGAAATAAAATTAAATAAAATAGAATGAAATTAAAATGATTTAAATTAAATTAATTCAATTGAAATACAATACTACAAAGTAAAATTAAATTAAATTAAATTAAATTACATAAAAGGAAATAAAATCACATATGAAAAGGAAATTCCACTCACCGTGTGCCTTCAACTGAGTACGAGCAGAAGTTCCAGTCGCGATTGAGCGCGTTCACAGAGTTCGTCACCTTTTGACGCAATACTCCTTGACCGGCCTTGTTACAGAGCACATCCGATGGGAAGAGCATCTTAATACGGAAGACACGTTGAGCGGGTTTAGATGCTGCAAGCAGAAGATATTTAGAGTAGAGCTAAAGTGGCACCAAGCATTACTATTTTCACACAGCGCACTTACGTGAACAAGATGGGTAGACCAACGGCATGGATGCTTCGCGCGTGGGACGCCAGAAACCTTCAGCACCGCAGGTATAGAAGTCAGGTACTTCCTCAGAGAAGCGCAAGCCGGGGTTGCAAGAGATCTCACAAACCTTAAATTGGCCGCCTGCGCCCCAGTCTTTGCACACTTGTACACCACCCACAGGATCGGCGAGTGGCGGACAGAATTCAGCTGTTGGGATGAGTTATTGACAATAAAACTACTTTTTACCTTCTTCTAATATCACGCAATACTCACTCAATAACGACACCTTGAAATTGCATGTGGCTGTATTCCCAGCTGCATCCGACGCAATGTAGGTTATATCATAAGAACCCCACAGCAGTGTGGTACCCGGACGATGACCATTAAGTTCCACAATTTTCGTTACGCCGATATTGTCGCTAAAGTGTGGCTCATCCCATGTGACCACGGCGGAACCATTCTTAGCGATAACCCACAAGTCACCAGGGCAATGCTCCACAACTGGTGGTTCTTTGTCGACAACCAATTGTTGACAATTGGGGCCTTGATAACCGTTCGGGCATTTACGTTGTCCACACATGGAGGGTACCGTACGTTCAACACCACCCGATGTTACCTCATAACCCGCCCAGTTCAATATGAGACCGTGATACAAAACAGGTTCGGAACGGCAGTCTCGTACTTGCTTCTGTATCTCCGAGGTGATGTCCAATGCACGTCCCCAAACTTGCGCTTTGGTGATTGTACCTTGGAAGCCTGATTCGGCGTACGAAGCTGAGTGTCTTGTATCGTCCGGTTGTGGACGCCCCAGCACAGCCCACGTGTATTGTGGCATGGCACGACCGCCAGCATATTCCAATTTGCTAGCAATGAGTCCCTCGGTGATCAATTGCAGTTGACCGATGGCGCCGTCCCATAATATGGCTACATGATGCCATTGACCATCATTCACCGAAGTGTACTCACCGAATGAAAGGAAGGCGTCGGGTAGGTCCTCGAAGATTGATACCTGTACGCCACTTGAATGCGCTTGCAGCAGCAGACGACGGTGGTTAGCGATGTGTGGTGACTGCACGCCATACAACGTGAAGAATATGCCGGTATCGTCCTTCTGCGTAAATTGTACCCACATAGCGATAGTCAGACTGTTGGACTCACCAGTGTAGAAAGGTACCACTTGTGCGGCGGTTGAGCGTAGTGGATCGCTGAAGTATAAGTCATAGTCCACTTGTATTGTCTTGCGACAGTCATCGCCAGTCATATTGAAGGCACACTGACAGTAAAAGCCGTTTGTGAGATCAATGCATGTAGCGCCAGGTGGACACGAGTTATCCTTGCAGTCGATGATATCCTCTTCGCAGTTCTGGCCCGTAAAACCAGGTGGACACACGCACGAGTAACCGTTGCCATAATCAATGCAGGTCGCGCCGTTTTGGCAGACATTCGCTTCACACGCATCGAACTCATACTGACAACCAATACCCGAGAAATCAGCTGGGCATGTGCAATTCAAGCCTGAGCCATAATCTTGGCACTTGCCGCCGTGCATGCATGGGTTGCCTATACAACGCTCAGGTGCAGTCTCACATTTCTTGCCGTCAGTGCCACTCGGGCAGACACAGAAGTAGTCTTGGAACAAGTCAATGCAGTTAGCATCATTCTGACAAGGCGATTGTCCGCCACACGAAGTGATCTGTCTCTCGCAACGCGCACCACGCCATCCGTCCAAGCAAGTGCACTCAAAACCGCCAACACGATCACGGCACTGGCCACCATTCAAGCACGGACTCGTCTCGCAATCATCAATGTCCGTTTCGCAGAACGATCCGGTGAAACCTTCACGACAGACACATTCAAATTTGTTATCCAAATCCAAGCAACGTTCCGTTCCGACTGGGTTGCAAGGATCGCTCAAACACTCATCGATTTCGGCTTCACAACTAAGACCAACAAAACCCGGACGACACTTGCAAGTGAAGCCATCCAATTGATCAACACAGCTGGCGCCATTCTGGCATGGGTTCGACTCGCAATCATCAATGGTATGTTGACAGTTTTTGCCAGTATAACCGGGCTCGCATGTACAGCTGTAACCGTCTACTAAGTCGATGCAAACTCCATCATTTGCGCATGGACTATCTGCGCAATCATCGATATTTATATCGCAGGCATCGCCGCTCCAACCAGGATGGCAAACACACTCGTGGGCGAAAAGACGGTCCACGCAAGTGCCATGTTTACAAGGCTCGGACAAGCACAAGTCGATCTTCTCCTCGCAGCGTTTACCAGTGAAGCCAGGTGGGCAACCGCATTGGAAGTCATTCACAAGATCTGTACAGTTAGCGCCTAAAAGGCAAGGATTTTCCGCGCAATCGTTGATATTTTGTTCGCAGTGTATGCCCTCCCAACCCGGCAAGCAGTCGCATTTATAACGGCCCTGTTGCAGTGCCAGACAGCTAGCACCGTTACCGCAGGGGTTGCCATTAGCAGTGCAAGGATCGATGGTCACATCACAGTCTGCGCCAGTGTAACCGCTACGACATAGGCAGGTGTAATTCTTAAAACCCGGCTCATTCTTGCACATGGCACGTGCCGGGCAAGTATCATTACTACAATCGCTCACTTCCTCCTGACAATTGATGCCCGAGTAACCCGCCGGGCACTCACAACGATAACCTTGTGGTAGATCCGTACAAGAGCCACCATTATAGCAAGGCTGTGAAGCACACTCGTCAATATCGATCTCACAGCGTCTGCCCGAAAAACCAGCAGGACAGAAGCATTGTATGCCATGACCCATAGGCACGCAGAGGCCACCATGTAAGCAAGCGCCTTCGCCACACACCACCGGCTTGCACTCCTCACGTCCCTTGGCGCCTGGGCCATCGGTACGCATGTTGGTTGGGCACTCGTTGCAAGTTTGTGCACCAACGGCGCTCTGATAGTAGTTGACAGGGCAGGGTGAGCAGGGTGCCAAACCAGTGTATGAGTAGAAACCAGCTTGGCACTTCTGACGACACAGATCCTTTGTTGAGGCCGCTGGCTGGAAGGTGAATGAATTTTGTGCACAAGCAGTGCAATCCTTGAAGCCGCCGGTAGGTGGCTCGCCGGTATATGAGTTACGTGGACACTCCAGGCAGGGCACGAGTCCAGTGGGTGAGTACGTGCCGTAACCGCAGACGGGTATACAGTCAGTGAGAGACTTTGAACCTTCCTCCTTTGTGTAAGTGCCAGCGGGGCAACGCAGACAGGTGCCTTGGCGATCGCGATTTTGATAGTAGCCACGTGGACAGTTCGTGCACACGCTCTGACCGGTGATCACATAAGTACCGGCGGGACAATGTAGACAACGTGGCACATCGCTGGTATCCATATTCAGCACTTCGCCTACACTGCAGGTGAAACCACGTGAGATGTTGCTCTTCAGTGCACGTAACGGTGGACATTGATTGCCGATATTCGAAATATTCAACAGTGAGTCGATAACGGCGCTTGCGTAGGGCACACTCAAGTCGAAGATGAGATTCAACGTAGAGCCGCACAGTTCGTATAGTTGGGGTTGTCTGACGGCGGGTAGGATCGAGAGTATGAAGTCCATCTTTACGACATTCTCTTCCAACAAACTCGGCACAGATTTGACGAAAGACACATTCATATTGACATTGACGGCCGAGCAGCGTTGAGACAGCAAACGATTCAAGCCGGCGTAGTGTTCTGATAACATGTCCTGGTACTGACCCAGACAAGCCTGCGCTACAGCGCCATTGGCACGGTAGGTAACTGTTGCGGTTACTTGGTAATCGGCTTGTTCGGTGTTCTCCGAAACACAATCGGGCACAACCGATGTGGGTTTCCACAAACGCGACGTCTCACAAGAGAACGTTTTCAAAGGTTCCCCATCAGTGAAGCGGAAGCCCGGCTTACAAGTGGCTATACACTCAATACCTCGGTCTCCTGGCAAACAATTAATAGCACCATTTGCAGGCGGCTGTAACTCCCAGTCCACACACGGCGAAGCCTGCACCGAGACTTGGAAGTGACAGAAGGCACGATTGTTGTATTTGTCGGTGGCCGTCACGGTAACATTCTCATAAGCGCCGATGGATATCACCGCGCGTTCGGGTGTGTAGGTGACACGCACGTCGCCCGAATCATCTGAGGTCTTAATACGTTTACGTGTGTCGTTGAAGTTTACGCTATAACTCTCCTGACGGTCCACCAATTCGATGACATAACTCTGTGGACATTGCAGAAGCGGTGGTGTGACATCCGGTACTGTTATGTTTATCTCGCAAATCGCGACGTTACCATCATAATCGAAGGCTACATATTTTACGACCGTGTCTTTGAAGACATACGAAGGGGTTTTGAAGTTTTGTGGCTTGACCTCGAGACGCGCAATTGAGCCTGAGTTGTCCACAGCTGAAGGCTCTGTGAAATTGACTGGCAACACAGCACCGTTCTCATCTCGGCGTACAATAATCGGCTGTTGTGGGCAGTTCTGGAAGATCGGTGGTTCATTATCTACACATGGCGAGTAACCGTAGTCATAACCTAGTAGTGGCTCCTTCTTTGGCTCTTCACAGCCCATGAGCTCGAATTTCAGGCAAGCGTTATCCATGTAGCTAACAATACCCAAGATGACGAAACGTGCCTGCACGTATTTGGGCAACGTAATCATGGCCAACTCACCGTAGTTTCCGGGATCCCGCATGGTTAAGTTAAAGTTGGGGAAATAGACGACATAGTTTTCATTTTCGGCTTGCTTGTAGAAGAAACGAATCTCTGTGGGGCGGCCAACAATATCATTGGTCACAACACCTTTAACTAAAATCGCCTTTACACGATGGATCTGACCCAAGTCAACACTGACATATGTGAAAGCTTCCTGCTTGCCACACCAACCCGTCGCAGAATTCAGACGTATATTCTTTGCTTCGTAGTTTGGTCGTTCCGAAGTAGCGTTAATCGCTGAGTCCGGGATCTTGCCTGACGTAACGCCCAATGGTTTAATCACCCGACACTCCGGCTCGCGTATGCAAGTAATTGGACGAGGGTTGATTAGTATGTAACCAGGCCGGTTACAGCCAAAGTACACCTCCGAGCCTTGTTCATAACTGCGCGCTATTTGTCGACCATCACTTGGACGTCCAGGGTCCTCACATACGGGACCTTCACAACGCAAGTCACCGAAATCCCAAATACCATCGGATTGACAACGCACGACATTATCGTGACGAGAGGTTTGGCCAGCCAATTTGAAGGTATTCTGACACCCGAAGAAGAATGAGCTCTGGAAGCGTGTATCGACAAATTGGCCATACTCAGCGCCTGGTGTGGACATAGGCTGATAGCAGTCGACACGTGGACAAGAAGGCTGTGAACCGGAAAGCCAGTAATCGGGCAAGCCGGGTTTGGGATCATATACGCACTGGCGGAAGCCTGAGGTAGCGGTATTGCGAAGCTTGCGACCAGCAGCGCTGCAAGTCACGGTTACGTTATCGCGGAACGGCACTAGCACAGACTCGGGATCGGGACGTTCAACAGAGAGACCTTCGAGCTTATCATCCGGCAGTGAGACACATTTGGCATCTGAAAAAGAAAGAGGAAAGTTCGAGTCATTTAAATGTTTACATGAGTAGTTTAGTCAGCCAAAGACTTACAGTTGCACTCAGGAACTGTCGCATTCCACTGTCCAGTCGAGAGGCAGAGCACTGCGGCACTGCCAGACATGATATAACCAAAATCGCACTGGAATCGCACAATATCGCCGAAGTGATGATCATTCTTGTCTGTCAATAGTTTGCCATTCTCCGGTTCCAGTAGTGGCGGACACATCAGCGGCACGCAGGTCTTATTACGCTGGTAAGTATCCCCGTCACGTTCACCGGTCTCGGTGCGTTCAATGCTAAAGCCCGCCGTGCCATTGGCAGTGAAGAGTTGGTAGCCTGTGTTGCAAGAACAGGCATAACTGCCAGGCGAGTTAACGCACTTCTGGTCACAACCACCATTGTTCCTTGCGCACTCATTAATATCCACACAGTCCAAACGTGTGCAACCCATCAACTCCATGCGTATGCAGGGAGCGCCGACATAGTCCTGAATGCGGAAGCGTATGTAACGAGCCTCGATGGGCATTGGTAGGTTAAGTATGGAAAGAGTGGGTTCCAGTATGCGGAATTCCACGGCAGTACCATCGGGATTAGTATAATCTTTGAAGACGTCAGTCAAATCATCGGTGTACTGAAGACGCACGGCCGAGGTGAATGCGACATTGCCGTCGAAACGTTGCACGGACATTGTACGGAAGCCACGCAGTATGGTGGGCGCTTTAAGATCAACTAAAATCCAATTTGCGCCCGGCTCGACGAGCGCACCACACCAACCGGCCGAGTTGAGACGCACCAAGCCTTTCGAATAACCCTCCTCGGTAGACGAAGTCATTATGCTGTCATCCGGTATGCCGCCATTCGCCAAACCTAAATCACCGACGGGCCGGCACTCTGGTGTAGGCGCGAATCCTGTGCGACACTGACAATGGAACGAGCCATTTGTATTCATACATTCTGTTGTGGCTAAATCGCATTGAGTCGATGTGCATTCGTTGATATCCTCACAGGTTGGGGGATTCTCAAATATCTGCTCTGAGTTGCAACGTATAATATTACTACCGATCAACTTGTATCCCTTATAACACTGTACACGCGCATCATCGCCAAAATAGTAGGGGCGTGCCGAGTCCACGACGAAACCATTATCGATCCTCGGATATTCGAAGCAACGTTTACGGGTGCAGCGTGGTACATCACCGCTCCAAGTGCCATTGGACATACAAATCAACACTGGATGACCGTTGCGCTCATAACCGGACTCACATTCGTATTGCACGATGGTGCCATAACTGCGACCACCACCATTGAGCAGCGTTACATTGGCATGTGGCACCTCCGGCAGTGGCGAACATTGCGAAGCCATGCAGGTGGGGGTGCGCTCCCAACGTCCATCGGGCAGACATGAGATTTTCTCGATAGGTGCACCGGAGGCGAAAGCAAAACCGGCATAACACTGATACATGGCGACACCGCGATATGTCACATTTGAAGAGCCGATAGAGAAACCGTTATCGATTTGTGGCACCGGACCGCAGTAGACCTCTGAAGGAGTAGAGAGAAATCAAGATTTAGTCTCATATAGAAACCCATATCAGAAGGAAAACTCACCTTGACATTTCGGTATATACGAGACACTCCAGTTGCCGCCCTTCATGCACTCCGTAACGATCTTGTTCTTGCCCGTTGCAAACTCCTGACCAATAGGACATGTGAACTTCACCACCGTGCCAAAAGCGGTATCCCGGCTTGAAGCCAACGCACCAATACCGGGCTTGAGCTCGGGACAGTCAGCAGAGAACGTGGCGGACCAACTATTGGGAGATAAAGAGAAGAAATCGGTGCATTAAAGAATGCAGGACTATGCACTGTAGTAGTAATTCTCACCCCGCCGCATTGTGCAGCGCATCGGAAGTAAACTTGATCAGCATCTCCCCAGATGAAGCAGTCAGTGTGAGCTTAGGCGCTACTGTGCCTGTGAAACCATCACCCGAGTGTAAACGCAGACCAGCCGTGGACGAACCATCATAGACCTGCACGAAATCGCTCTTATGCACCATAAACTTATCGAACTTCAATGAGAGTGGTGAGCCACTCGGATTCCGTATCGTGAAATAACAGTCTTGATTCTTTGGATAGTCCTCCAAGCCGTAGGCGGGCGAGGTTACAGTGCCATTGCGTGCAGTAATTGTTGCCCTGCAACCCTGTATGTAACGCAAGCTGAAGCCCTTACCAGACTCACCCAGACTGGATTTGAAGTAGAGGTACAAGGCATTGTTCGTCGAAATAATAACTTTCTCGTTATCCTTAGCATTTCCGGTGAGGCGTGCAATTGGACGGCTCATTGGTGACTCGCCGTCACGCACAAGCAGCACATCACGTCCCTCAGCTACGTCCAAATCATCTACCTCAATGGAGATAATGCGTCCCGGCTGCGCTTTGATAATATACAAGCACTCGAGACCGCCCGGATACTGTTTTGGATAATTCGGGCTTGTCAAGGTTTGACGCTGCAGATTCGCCTTCAACACGCCACCACAATTTTTCGCCTCTGTCTTCCATGTGGCGCGGAAACCCTTACGTTCAACACTACCGTCCGTTGTAAACTTGACAATCATAAAGTTCGATGCGGACACAAATGGTTGCATTGTCAAATCGAGTTTGCCGCTCAACGTAGCCAGCGATACCGACTTATCCTCAGTACGACCACCGACCAACACCTGCACTGTATCGAAAGTCTTCTCCGTTTCGAAGTCTTGGAACTGCAATATGATATTGCTGCCCAACGGCCCTTCTAGAGTCCACTTGCACTTACTCATCGCCGCATATTTGTGTGGATAGTTGGGTGTTTCAATCACATCACCACCCGATTGCATGTGATAGTGACACTGTGCGGGGCAATCCAATTCATCCGAGCCATCACCACAATCATCAGCGCCATCACACTTGAATGCCTGATTCACACACAAGCCATTCGAGCAATGTATCGAGTTTTGTGGGCACGCTGGAGCGCGGCACATGAAAGGCAACAGACTCTCACAGGTATCCAAGCCCCAGGATTGCATACGTGAGGCGAAGGTGGCAGCCACACACTCACCCGACATTGGATCGGGTTGATTGAGTGACCAGAAGCCGGAGTATTGTGAGATGAGCGCCCCCGAAGCGGACTCCAAAGTGTTCGTGCGCAAATCATCCAGCGAAGCAAGACCAAGCCAATATTTGTCGGAAGCGCGTCGATTGGGATCATTAGTGCGCGCAATGGCGAGAGTGCTGTTATTCTCCGCGTAGGTGTCGATTGCGACCAGTTCGGCGCCATATCTGGAAGAGAGGAGATAAAATTTATTAAAACTTAATTACAATAAAATAAAGCAAAAACTATATAAATTAAAATAATTAAACTTAAAAAGAAAATTGTAAAAAAATTAAATTAAATTAAATTATATTTTTATTAAATAAATAAACTAAATTAAAAACAAAATAAAAAATAAAATATATAAAATACAATACAAAATAAAATAATCAAAAATAGAATTCAAATAAATAAACTGAAAGAGTTTAAAATTGACAATAAAATTAAATAAAATGGAAAAAAATTAAATTAAATTAAATTAAATTAAATCAAAAACAAAATAAAAAATATTATAAATTAAAAAATAAAACAAAACAAATTAAAAGAATTATATAAATTAAAATAAAATAAAACGAAAAAGGAGTTAAAGAAAAATTTCAAAAACTTTCAACGAAAAATAAAAAAAACAAAAAATTAATAAGAAATAAAATAAAAAGAATTGAAATAATTAAAATTGAAATGTAAAAAATAAAAAAAAAAGTTAAAATCAATAATTAAATTAAATAAAAAATAAAAAAGGTTTTTGTAAATATAAAGTTGAAAAAATTAATTAAAAAAAAAAGAATAAAAATTAAGTAAAATAAATAAGTAAACCAAATAAAATGAATCAATAATAAAAATTTAAACAAAATAAAACAGAATTAAAATAAATAAGATTAAACTAAATAAAAAAAAATCAATAAAATTAAATAAAAAATGAAATAAAAGTTGAAATAAATAAAATCAAAATAAAGTAAAATAAAATAAAATAAAATAAAATAAAATAAAATAAAATAAAATAAAATAAAATAAAATAAAATAAAATAAAATAAAATAAAATAAAATAAAATGAAAATAAACGAAATCAACAAAAAAAAATTACATAAAAAATGAAATAAAAATTGAAATAAGTAAAATCAAAATATAAAAAATAAAGTAAAATAAGGTAAAAACAATAATTAAATTAAATAAAAAATAAAAAAAGGTTTTTGAAAATATAAAGTTGAAAAAATTAGTTAAAAAAGAGAATGAAAATTAAGTAAAATAAATAAATAAACCAAATAAAATTAATCAATATAAAAATTGAAACAAAATAAAACGGAATTAAAATAATTAAAATTAAACTAAATAAAGAAAATTCAATAAAAGTAAATAAAAAATTAATTAAAAAAGTAAATCAAATAAAAGAAAGTGTAAGTCAATAAACGCAAGTGAAATTTCCAAAGAATTCCGCACATTTCCTCAACAATTGCCATCATCATTGACCAAGTTCGTTGCCACACGCAATTTTCGCTAATTTTTTGTAGAATCAAAAATCAACAAATTACAATATTATTAGCACACACACACACACACACTAAAACCGTAGCTGCCGTTAACTAGTCATCAGACAACTTTCTATTTTCTTTTGGATTCTTTGCTTCAACTTTCTTGCACACTGTCATTTTTTTTTTACTTCAAAACTCAGAAGAAATATTCAATTATGCTTTTGGCCTAATTTTAGTAAGTCAACCGAACAAGAACAAAAACAGCAACAACCACAATAGTTGTTGTAGAAACTTTCATTTCCAAATCAATGTCAAATCGTATTATTTCAAATGAGTGGCAATATGTACTAATGCATACGTGTATGTATGTATGTATGTATTACATATAGATTATCATGAATAAAATTACAATAATAAAAGCAACACTTGAACTTGTGCCATTCGCATATACGAGTATGCAACAATACAACGAATAAGCACAACATCAAGTCTATTATGGCAAGCCATTGTGGGTATTTAAGAATAACATAACCGTCATTTAAATGCCATTGATATGATCTCTCGCGCCGCAAGCGAACGAACGAACCGAGTGCGGAAATTGTAGAGCGAAGGCTAAAGATTGGGTTACGCGGCGGTAGGTAGATCACATTCTCGAGTGTTCGTGCGTGTAAGTGTGTGTGTGTGTGCGTTAAATACTTTTTTCTTATATTAATGCTTTTATACTTTTTTTGCTTATTAATTTTAATTCTTTTTTAATATTTTTTCTAATGCGTTTATTTTTTTTATTATTTAATTTTATGTGTTTAGTTTTTGGTTTATTGTATGATTTATTTTTTTTTTTTTTAGTTTTACTATTATTATTATTTTTTTTTTTAACTTTTTCCGAGCCACAAAGACTTATGAAAATCCAGTTTTAAATGCTTTGAATGCTGTACGCAGCTGACCGGTGCTGACTACTTTGGCCGCAAGTGGGCGTTGGCGGCATTTTTCACTTTCAAATTTTCTATGATATTTGTTTATGGACAGGTCAAAGACAGATAATGAAATTTACATATTTATAATATCAAATAAGAGAAAGGATAATCAGTTGGAAATGTGGTTGGTTGTGTGGTTGACACTTTTGTGGCTGCACTTTTTTACAATGTTGCCAAATTTCTATGCATTTTTTTGTGTGCTTTATTTCGCTAATATAAATCCTCTAAACACGTGATGCAACGACTGGTTAACAAAAATTTGTTAATGAATTTCTGTATCTATTTTATTTATTATGCAATGTTGCCAAATTTCTTTGATTTTATTTTAATTTTAGTCTCAGCGTACTTCGTTTAGAAGTAGTAAACAGCTTGTTTAGCATCTCAAAACAATATTATTATTAGTATAGCACTTAATTAAGATTCTCAAAAATGCACTGTTGCCGAATTTCCTTAACTTTTTATGTTTCTACAAATTAAAAAAAATGCTGTGATGCTTTTGGTTTAACATAAAAGCAAAAACTGCTAGTAGGGTTGGATATACGTATCAGCGGTAAATGCAATGTTGCCAAATTTCGTCAATATAATCTTAATTACATTTATTTTGATTTTTAAGGCGACTTTTGCTGACTTTTGATAGCCTTTAATTGAAAACTAAAATTCAAAAATTGAAAATAAAGTGCTTTCTACCTTCACAGAATCATTTTATTGAGAGTACAAAGGAATGTTGTGGAATAAAAATTTTTCAAACTCCATCTCCAGCCAAAATTCGATAGCCCAGTGAAGATAATATAAATAAATTAGGTTTTGTGACATTCAAATGTAAAGACGTGAAGAAAAGCTTAGGATATCGCAACCGAAATTCCATACCAAATATACACACTAAATTCAATACATATACACATACATGTCTGTAAACACGCCAACCAGCCAACGTACTCGTAAATGCAACCACAATTATGACAATTTATTTAAAATATTTTTTTTTTTTCTTTTCAACAAAGAAAATTCAAAAATTGCCCCACCCATTTTGAACGCCAACTGGTTTTTGTATGGAATTTCCTTTGTCATTATTGTTATTGTAGTTGCCATTATTATTTCTTTCGAAATGGCTTAAGACATAGCCAATTCAAGGCATTCCTTACCTCCACTCGATTTTCGTTTTGCATTTATTGGCATGCCTTAAATGCCATGGCATACAAAATAACATGCATTTAGTGGCAAACAACAACAGACAAATCTGCGCAGCTGCAACCGTTAACTGTCAATAAGTATTAAAAATTATTTGCATTAACGCGCGTGCACGTGGCTACAGAGTTTGATTAAATGCTTATTTATGCGTCTGAAGCTGATATTCTTGGTAGGGTAGGCATTACTGAAGTTTTAATAATTTTAAAATATTTTTGGGTAAATAATTTAAACTTTAAAAGTTAAAATAGTTAAAAATATTATAAAAAAAAAGTTTGCGCCAATCAAAGTTATAAATATTATTTTCCGATTGTTAAAACTGTTTGAAAGCTCTAAGCAGAGCATAAGCGTTTTGTTTATTGTAAACACAGCTTAAGCCTTTGCTATCGATATCAAAGCTTACATTTCCTTGTACATTTCTTGAAGTTTGGAAAAGCCAGCCTTTTCCTGGTAGCTAAGCAGTGCATGTGTCAATTAAGAGCTTTTTTTATAAAATCGGTTATACTTAAAAAAAAAATAAAAAACTCAAATAAAATTCGTTTAAAATAATTTTTTCATGAAATCACTTTCTTATCATAAACTTTAAACTTTAGATGTGAAACCCCACATCATTCGCGAATTTTCGTAAGCTTCGATTCGTTTGAAATAATTTTCAACGTTGTTGCTTTCAAAGAAGTAAGGGCCAATCATATCAGCGGTTACAAAGCGCCATTTATATATATATATATATATATATGTATATAAGGACCAATTACACCTCCAGACCAAAGAGCGCGCCAGTCGTTAAAGTGGTTTAGTTGTAATTGCCTCTCTTTAACTATTTGAAGATTTTCCGAATAAGCAATGTGATTTGTCGCTGAACACAATTTTGTTCCGAAAATCGCCAACCACTGATTGTTGTTCAAGCACGTATGTACAGTGTTATGTATGGTCAGCTGGTCGTTTGAGGACTGTCGCTGTCAGTCCAAGTACCAAATATGTGGTAATGGGTTGTAAGAGAGTCCATGTTCTTGAGAACGGCGAGAAATAGGCGCCTTCGGGTCTACTTCGGCTAAACTTTCGCTTGCAATAGCGATATTTGAGGCAGAAGGAGCAAAATGATGATGCAAAGGCCTTAAAATATCTGTAGCCGATACAGTCTGTTCAAATTTCTCTAAAATTTTGCCAATTACTTGAGCATTTGAACGATTACATGCATCATAGTCTACACTTCAAGCACGGAATGTCGTCATATGAATCTCCTTTTTCTGTACTAGGTTTTACCAATTTTAACGCATTGCGGGATAGATTCTCATAAGTTCGTGAATTTTAACTAAAACAAAACATGTTTGGTTTAAAAGTTAAGTTTTCTAGATATCACAATATAGCCCTATATTCCTGAAACCACAAAATGGATAACCCCAGGTATAAAATTTGGCACACTAGCCATAGAGTCCACGCTCAGGTACCAATAATGAAACGCTCCAAATCCCATAAATTCTTGCCTTTAATGACGAAAAAATTTATATGTCAGAAGTAAATACAAAGCTTCATGCTTTAGAACAAGTTTCTTTGTATTTGCTT